TTGGATGAGGCTAATATTGACAAAGTCATTCAGTTGGTTTCCTTCACCGTTGTGTTGTCTATTGTAACGCCACTATCAGTGACTTAGCGCAATTAGGATGGGATCTGTTTGAAAGCAATCTTGAAAGGGTCATGTAAACTTAGAATAATCCATAAAATAAGTGCTCAAAATTATTTGAAGTTCAGTAGAACCTCATTAAAATATGACTTCCTTCTTGGGGCTACGATCAGAAATATTCAAGAACATTGAATTCGTGCTTCAGTATCTTCAGCGTTCTTGTCGTATTCGAAAGATGAAAAGTATCCTTACGGAATACTTGTGCGAAAAATCTTAAGGAGTCTGTGAGCAAAAAAGACAGTCAAATTTCTAAAAAATACATGAAGCATTGTGATGTATTACATACCTGTGAAACTGTACCCCATATGGAGTAAAAATATACCTCTCGAGGTTTAGGTGTTAATCTGAGTGATTGCTTGGTTTCACTGCAATACTTCGCAGAGTTTAAGACACTCGAGCATGTTGGAGAAAATGATGAAAATATCCTCAGTCCTTGAAATGGAAATGGATATTGTGATAAACTACATTCTAGTTCTCATGAAGCAAGTATTTTACACAAAGTTTTGCTAATAGGGGAAGCACGAAACAACTGTTGTGTTGGATTGTGTAACACCAACATATTAACATTCATTATGTGTTATATGAAACTAAGTCGTGCAATAACAGTTTGGTGTGAACTCAGACGTATGTGGCACACACAATCTCTCCTGTTATGCCAGCACCGAAGAATATAATACAGGTGGTCTTCATAATAGCCACACACACACACTCATGTTCAGAAAATGTTTTCTGCACAAACAGACAAAGCCACATTCGAGAGTCCACCTTACCAATACTAACAAGTCTCATAGCTTGAAGACAGCCGATATCGGGATCACAAACAAAACACACAAACCAATACGAAATACTACTATACAATTTTACTGTACATGAATAACTCTCTCTCTTTTGCGTGATGGTTCATTTCGGTGAGGTGAAACCCTCATGGCTTAACTCTCCACGCTGTTTGTTCAGTCAATCTGTTTTCGATGATTCAATTTTCAACTGTCTCAAAGAACCTGAGTCTTCAAGATTCATCGTCATTCTCCGTCAAACATTCAAACCAAGTGAATCTGAATAATCTAAAACTACTTAGGTTAACATGTATGATTAAAAAAACGAATAATATGAAATTAAGTCACCAAACAAAGATTATATCAGTCATTCGCCTGCACCAGTACACCACGTTTAAGTGATTGTTAGAGTGTGAATGCGAAGAACATTGAAAAAGTCGTATTTCAGCAAATAAGAACCGAACAAATTGTTTTTATTAGTAAACTGGCGTCTGTCATGTACATACAAGTGAGGATACATGATCATTTTTAATAAATAGGATAAACAGAGTTATAGTGGCACAGCAAATACCTGTGCACAGCCTAAGACAGAAGATGATAACTAGAGATAGTAACATCCAACATTTCATTGACGAATTCATCCCAGTCTCCTTCTCTCCAACATACTCCCAAGTGAACATTGCCTTGTAAATAAAGTCTTCCCTATGCTTTTCTTGTGAGATGAGTGAAAACTCTCTCGGTTAATTTGTCGTACATTTTCAAGGCACACGAATAATTCTACTGTTAGAATCTGTCATGGGATCTCTCCTAAGGAAACACGATATCTGTCATCATCATTTATGGACACCAACCCTCGTGCTTTAACAAAACGATGACCAGTAATCAGGACAGAGTTCTTATGATCAGTTAATCAAGGCAAGATGTGGTCACAAGAATTAAAATGCCCACAGACTTTAGATAGAGAACCTGAGAGCGTAGTAACCAAACTTAAGGAATTAAGACAAACATTTAAAATGAAGTGGTGCTGAAGACACCTGGCGAAAACACTAATCAGCATCAGCTTCAGTAATCTAAAGAGACATTGTTCTTCCAATTATCTTACTCAAGCAGCATCATTTCGTCCATGGATGGCATGGATGAGGCCACATAGGATCTAGTCGAGAAGGCCAAATAAGAATTCATTACTCTGAAATCGGCGTAACTATCTTCACCACTTAAAATTAGAACAGTATTCGAATTCTTAACACAAAAGTTAAACCAGTGCTGATATATGGTACAGTAACTTGATGTATCTTTCAAAAAAATCATTTCCAGCACCATGAAGATTTTCATCAACAACTGTCCCCCTTCTACACTTAAGATCAGATGGCCAGTCAGAAAGAATATGCATGAAGTAACTGTTACAGCAAACGAGTCAATAGTCTGCAGCTCGACGAACATTCAGAATGAAATGTATGTGGCTTTGGTATGCTTTGAAGATGGATTCAACTAGCCTCCAACGCCATTTCCTAGAATAGTAGTTAGACGATATGTGATCACTTAAGTATTCAATAATTACCTGGATAAGAATATAGGAGGGGAAAATAAAAGCTAATTGTTAGTCGTTGAACCAAATAGAAGTGATGATGGGAAACCAAGTGATGTTGTGACAGTGAAGCTGTGAGTTGGACATGGAATACATTGACCATTGATAGGCGTTCATACAGCGCCGACTAACAAATAGTGTGCTGAGATAAGGTTCATTTTAATGTAAAAAGCAAACACTCAAAGCCTGTACACACTCAGACAGCCAAAAGTTATTTCTTTCAAAAGAGTGTATTTCAGTGGATAATAAAAAAATTAAGGAAGTTCATTTTAATAAAATAGAAATCAATAAAACTCTGATGCACAAAAGGGTAAGAAGCAATCTTCATTCACTTTCTCTAGTTTGTTCATGTTCTCGAAATTTCAGCTGGGCAGAAACCTGGACCGTTGACTGGATGAGCTTCTATGTTGTTACTGAAATAAATCGTCAAACAATTACATGGAGATTTACAATCAGCTTTGTTGTTTCACACATCGAATAACTAGAATTGGTAGACATCGATAATGCATATACAATTTAAGTGCTCCTCGTTTAATTGTTATGTTTTGTGGGCATGCATCAGTTCACTTACTCTTTTGGAGCCAGATACATTGGTCATTCGATGCGTGAGCTGCCAGGAAAGGTTCCCACTCATGATAGCAGAATTGTAGTAGTTCTCTCTTTAGAAGTACGATAATCGAACATTTAGCGAGCATCGGCCGTTCCATCTGCACAAACGCTTTCTTCAAAGTAATCTACGAAGTGAAGAACAACCTATGGAGAGTAATATTCTGTCTTCTCCTATGCATTGCTGAAACCTTAACGATTCATTTAGGAAAATCGGATATGTGCGTACAAAAGGAAGTTATTCAATCATATCTAACGTCATCGCTACAATTGTGTTGATTTCTAATCACTTGATTTTAGTTTGTTTGATTTTCTATTTCTGCATAACTCCCGTATGTCTTTGGGACTCTTATGTAACTCGGCATTTTCCTTCGTTTCTATGTGAATCCTGACTAAATAATTCATCTTACTATGTAACTCTGATACACATATTCAACTCTTCATATGCACTGACAAATATCGACAACTATTTTTCCGACAACTCATCACTTTCGGTGCTACCGTCCAATGAGAAGAAATCTACATAAATGCGATTTTACAGCTAACCCGGAGAGTGATTTTACCGAAAAGAGACTCTTTGCTTAACTACGTGTTTTGTCTTCAAATTGTTATTTATCGAGTTAGGTGATTTGCTGACAGTATCAGACACAAAACCATCAAATTAATCACCAGGGTTAAATTACAGCCTTCACAAGGACCTATACGACATTCATCATGTGCAGTGAAGAGCTCTAAGATGTTTAATACATCCCAGGAGGAAGAATCGTTTAGTGGAATTCAATTTCCATTGAGATAGTTTATTAATTCTTTGGATTTTGCAATCGCTTTAACCACGCAACATTCAAATAAACGCGGCTGGATAAATTTTCTAATTTCCCTGCTTGTGCTTATATTATATGCAACTAAAATGAAGTAAGATAAGATTCTCCTTTGGAAACAGAAATGGACGTCACATACTTTCCTGCGAGGTCAAGAGACGATGAAAACTGCGATTCAACAGTGAAAGAAGTGAATGAATGTAACAGTGAGTATTTCGGAAAAAGGTCATGGCACAAACATATTGCAATAGAACTTCACAATATACATGATAACACATGATTATACGAATACAAGGACTCACTACAGCATTCTGCATCGAAGTTCACCGATTCGTTGTGAAAATTCTTCATTCGTATCAGGGTTTCGCGACCATAATCTTTCAGCTATAGCAGCACCTCTGGGCCTGCATATGCATGTCACAGAGATAAAAGAAGATACTTAGTTGCAGTCAATAAAGCAAGAAAAATGAGGTCACACTAAACGTTTTTGTCAGGCTATTCAAAAATCGGTCTGTCATAAACTGGATGTCTCCCTGAATCATTTCTTGCATGAGTCTCGCCTTCGTAGCATATACGAAGGCGTATCACTCAGTATCTGGCCAGCTGTGCCATTTGTTGATGAAAATATGCAATTCTAAGGGAGGCCAGCGTCAACCTAGTCTGAAAATTCAGTAATGGTCATTTGATCTCGAAATCAGTAGGACCTTCAACCCCATTTTTAGCGGTTAACATTCAAAAATAGTGACTGTTAAAATATGCGATACGTTGAAAACAGTCATAGGAGTACTGTAAATCACAATTCATCTTTATGATATTCGTTTGATGATTGGCTAACAATGCAGTCCCATCGATTTGTCCATCCTGTTTCATCAGAACCTGTAGGGATGTTATCGAATGCTCATATTCTAACAGAGACACAGCGTTGAGTTACTTTGTCATTTTCTGCTGCAAGTGTCATTTTCACTAAGTCGTCTTGTCGACTCCGAAAATCGTTATATACACTTGGTTCATTTCCACCTAACCCAGCTAAAAATATTTTCCTAAATGCTCGAAAAATGCTAACGCGAAGAGTTCTATGAATGATTCACAAAATGTACTTACCATGCCAGAGTGATCATAATGGTCTCATCCACGCGTCTGCCCCATATTGTAGCTTCACCACCAATGACTAATGATACCTGCTCGTCTGAGCCTGTAAAAGACATGATAATTATTATTATCATCACAGGAAGCTGATAGACTGAGTGATGATTAGTGTAATTTGCAAATTCAGATATGCCGAGTTCACTGGTGAAAGAAACATTTGCAATTCGTATGGCTTTATATGTTAAGGTTTGATGTGTCGCTGTCTTCTGAATGAGAGGAGTTGGCAGTACCGATAAAGTTAGACACTAATTTTTGATTTAGAAATGGTCAGTTAAATACCTAATTAAGGGTGCGTTGTATTTGAAACATCGAAATGACTAGACAGAAATGAGTTTCGAACTTTGATGTCCTCAGCATAAAGAACAAAATTCTGATTTTCAATACAAATGTCAAGTCAGTCACTTCTTGTATATGGATCAGAAACATGCGATGCGCAACGAGAAACTCTGAGAACAAACCAACCAAGAATCTGTTGCGCAACAAATATTTAAGAGAAAACAACATTGATACACCACACACTGACGAGACCGTTGGGTGAAATTTTATTCCTGGCCACCTCAGTTTCATCTGTATGAACAAGGAAATACTCTCCTCCATTACATATTCATTTGCATGGAAAATACTTATAATAATCAAACGCCTCAACCTTTATCTTTGCTACAACTACAATATTTACCACTTTATCTCAATTATAAATATAACTTTCTGTCAACCCATCGTCTAAACAGTATTTGGAAACGAGATCAAGATGAAATTTTCACCCACATTCGTGTACAAAATTCATGTTGGGGATGCAATAACTGCAGGTTTTGTAGTCCAACGAATGATTTGCGTTCAAGACCATTGGTACGAACTCACTTCATGATGTTCGCCCTGTTCTCATCACTACTGTTAGTCGTCACTTTCGAAATCAAATAGATGCTGTAGCATAAGCAGAAGATCACAAGGTTAAAACTGTGATGGTTTTAAATTTTCACAGTAATAGTCTAACTGAGTAACCGATAAATTCTTCTACCGCATGAAATGTCTCATTACTAGATGTGATCAGACTGTGTCAGATTAAATAAGCAGAAAAACCGATCTGAAACAGGATACTGATGCTAATGCAATCGAACAATCTGGAAGACCAGCTTCATACAACCAACATATTTGCTCATTTGTTAACTTAGCCCTCCGAGGTACGTGGTATTGATAAATGATGTATAAATGAATAATGCATGCGAATTGTTGGTGCGGAGTGTCTCATCCTTCCGTCTTCATTTACGTGAGTTCTGGCAATCAGAAGTAATTGACGAACCAATACTGGTGTCGAAATCACTAATCATCAGTCCTACTATTCACGCCAACATAAAATAATTCATCAATTGCTCTTCTTACACATCAAGTTTCAGTTGAAATTATGCAAGCTAAACTGCTTAGTCGCGAGCGACAGAGAGGCATGCAGTAACAAAGTGCCAATTATTCAGGATTATTTTTATTCTGACGCCATGAAATTCAGACCATCTATCTTTTCTTCTTACCCAATTTCGAGCACTCCTTCTCAGATACACATTTTTTGTTGAATGTGAGATAGAAATCTGAGTTCACATTTGCGACATATTCGTCATCGAGGCGCATGCATCCTTCATCAGATCTAGATTCATTACTGAACCATTGCTTTTGAGGATGTGCTTGTTCAGTGTTTAGGAATCTGCAGTTAAACCACTCAGCTCACATAATACAACAACACTAAAAGCATCCAAATGATCTAAATATTCGCTTCTTTATTCTTGAATTCTTAAACGTCAGAATCCTTAGTTGTATGACCTTGGCGGCCTGTTTGAATTTTTGGGCCTACCATCATAACATCTACATATTGCATCCAACCTACCATTTACCCCATTTATTTATCACCCAAATATGAATTCTAAAAGGATCATTTACTCTCGTAACTTTATCATTCATTTCCGACCCAATGACTTTCATATTACCAAGAAATCAAGGAGGAAGCATCGTAGTGGCTGGCAGAGAGCTCTTAAACGTACACCAATACACCTAACTACGCTCCCTGTCATAATGAACACTAACTGCCGCTCTCTGCCAAACAAAATAATGTACCTACAATCCTTGATGTCCACTGACACTTATCACAATACTGCGATAATCGCATTACAAGAAACATTGTTACACGAACTGTACGATGACAATCTCATCTCTCTAAAGGACTTCATCCGAAAATGTGGTAATAAGAAAAATGGGGGTGGAGTAGCAACTTTCATTAACTCCAAATGGTCTATTTCTAATAATGTTTGCTTCTCATTCTCAAATGACTTCATAGACTGTATCACCGTCAAATGTCGTCCCAAACATCTCCCCAAATATAAACACATCTTTATCACAAACATGTACATTTCTCCAAGTTGCTCACTATCTAATCTTTCAAATTTTGCTGATGAATTCACCATGTTTGCTGCTGCCAACTTCGATAACTCTCTATCTGTTATTACTGGGGACTTCAACTTGTCAGATTGCTCCTTCCTTGCAGCACTTGGTCACTCTAACATTGTCAAATTTCCCACTCGACTAGACAAAAAAACACTTGATTTCGTTTTTACAAATGACGAAGGAATCTACGAAGCACGTAAACGTGCACCGATCCTCAACTCTGATCACTCTATTGTTCGTGTTCTACATAAATATACAGCAAAACACATATTAAAGTCTTCTCGCATCTCTCTATGAAAGAACAACAAAGATGCTACTCATCCGAAAACTTACTCAATCTAAGGTGCATGTTACAAAATACTAACTGGGATTTATTCCATGAAAGTTCATTAGATGACACAATTGTCAATATAACGGATTATCTTAAGTTCTGCCTTGATATATGCTGTCCCAAACAAACTCTATTCAAACGCCTCGACCGCTTCTCATCTCCTTATCTCAAACAACTTCGCAGGAAAAAAGAAACTTTATACAAATCCAAAGACAAATTAGGACTCAAGAAGATTAATGCTCAGATCAAATCTGAAATCAAAAATCTTAATGCTATCTATAATGATACACTTTTACCATGTAAATCTCCAATCAGCATGTGGAAACTTTTTAATTAAATTGCTGGTAATAGTAAGCGTTGTAATGCTTTTCCCTCGTATGATGTTAATGCTCTTAATCAGTCTTTTATACGCTGTCCTTCTACTTTAATTACTTCTAATGTTACCTATCATGTAGCAGAAAACTTTCGTGACTTCAATGCTGTCGATGTTCTAAAATGTGGTTAAAACGCTCAAGCCCTCACGCAGTCTTGATCCTGATGGTACACCTGCCTATGTTCTAAAACAATGTGCAGATGTGTTGTGTTCTCCACTAACCAACATCCTAAATGCTTCTTTCTCCAAAAATATCGTACCTGGTGCATTGAAAGACATCAGAATTGTCCCTGTCCCTAAGCCTGGAAACGGTAAGAACGTAAAGTTCAGACCCATTGCCATCACTTCCCCGTTTCTAAAGCTTATGGAAAAACTAATACTTCTTAAACTTGAACACTCCCTTAAAAACTTCGAAGACCCAAACAATTTGCCTATAGACAGGGTAGGAGTACATTAGACGCTGCAGCTGTCTTACACAACAACATCATCTCATCATTAGATAAAGGTGGCAAATACGTCCGCTGCACGTTTCTTGACTTCACTTCTGCTTTCGACTCTGTTCCTAGATGTCTCCTGCTAAATAAGCTCTCTTTGACAAAAACTGAGTCCTGGGTCACTAACTGGTTGCATTCCTACTTCTCTAACAGAATGCAGTACACCGTATACAAAGGTAAATCATCCTCTGCTGTACTCACTGAAGCCGGAGTCCCCCAAGGCGCTGTACTCTCCCCACTTCTCTTTTCTTTCTTTCTACATGACTTACCATCCTCAAGTGACATTAATTTAGTCAAATATGCTGTTGATCTGTCTGTATCTTTGCCTATCAAATGTCAAAGCGACTGCTCTAAACTTAATGGCTTTCTGTCAGAAATCAGCCAGTGGTCCAAGGAAAATGGTCTTACCCTAAACCCCTCCAAATGCCAAACAATCAATTTCACCTTTAGGCATAAATCCGACCTAAACAAACTGTTTGGCTCTCACGAGGTATGCAACATAGACGGCACTGAAATAGAAGCTAAATCGGAAATTAAATACCTAGGTGTCATTCTATCTGCTGATCTCTCCTGGTCGTCTCATATCTTAGCAATTTCTAAGAAAATATTCCGTCTTACCTTCTACATTAAGAAGTTGAAACACTCTGGTATAACCCAACCCTTACTCCTACAATTCGTTAATTCTCACATCCTGCCTATTATTCTCTATTGTTCCCCCTTAGTTTTCCCGGGCTCCTGAAGAAAGACTATAACATTTTACGCAGCATGTTAAATGTTGTTAGCAGGGTAAGCAACGTGCCACTTAACAAGCTTGCTAATACTCTGGTTGACAGGCACATGGACTCATGTGAAAAATGGGCGAAATCCATTTTATCTAACTCACACCACCCTCTTCACTCACAACTCTCCCCTTGCATCTCATCAGGTAAAACCAGAAGCCTATATAGAAAACTATATGCTCGCACCAGCGAGTACAAAAACTCAACCATACCCTACTTGGCTCGTGTTCTGTGTGATAAAGAAAGCATTAGGCGTGACACCTATAATTCATTAAATAGTCAGTAGTACAACTGGATTTCGTCTTTCCAACCCACATCATCAATAGGTACAACATTTTCTTTCTTTCTTTTCCTTTACTCTCTCTTCTTTTTCCGTTATGTGCTGCTTTGTTTCTTTCTCTCGCTTACGCCAGTTAATAAGACAGCTCCCACTTTTCTAACACCTTCAAACACTGTTTCAGCTTTACCTTTGCTACTGACATGCCAATGTGTTGTTGTAATAATGAACTGTAGTTTTCTCAATCTATGTAGAATTCTATTTATTGATAATATACTAACTGGATGCAATACTGTAGTAAAAATGCGGAGAATTCCATTCTGTATCACATGTACTGTTTTGGAATAAAGCAAATTATTACTATTATTATTGTTACCTATATCACCGCATACTGTGTAATTTCAAATTACCAACCGTTTAACACTGGTAAATGACAAATAAGTTCGAAATTAAGCAAATCCAATAGACAGTGTCAACACATAAGTTTGGTTAATGGCACCATTCCTATTAAAAGCATACGGTAAACCAACTAACCTCCAAATTCTCTGATATCATGTTCGTAGTATTCAATCCAATCATATTCGTTATGTAGCTGAGTTAAATCCCAACCACCAGAAACTATGACGTTGAATTTTTTTCCAGTAGCCTTTCTGGCATATTCTTTCCAGCTGAATCTTTGCCAAGCATGAATGACTGTGTTTTTGTCACCCTATAAGATGGAATCAAACATTTGTGCAATTACTGGTTGTTTGTTGAACGAATACAAATATCTTATAATGAGAGAAATTTACGATCAGATGGTAATCTAGAAAGTGAGAGACACCTTATTCAAAGGATGAGAGATTTCAATTATACAGTGGTTATTATGAGGAATGCCAAAGCTATCTGAGATGTCCAAAGCCTTTCTTTGAGGACGTGTTAGGTGTTTGTCTATATTTAATGGAAAAATACAGAGTCGGATCGTTTTCCGACAACTGAAAGATGCAATCAACTCGCTACTGCTCTATTTTCAACTCTAAGGTATTAGAATTTTTGGAAAAAGTATGTCATTCCTGGATTCGTCACTTCAGAGTAACCAATGTCTTACTTGTGATCCTTGGAGTTGGCGCTGACTGATTTCTTATAATCAAGATTGCAGCGCGATTGCCAAGCTAGATAAAGACTTATAAAATGGGCAATGAGAACTTGGTTTTCTTCAATCTGAAAATAAAGGTAGGCAGAACACTTGTCATCCTTGACAGTAATGTCTTCGGGAAATTAGCACACTTTAACAGCTATCCTAACTCCAGATCAATCAATTTGCACGTAATATTACAGCAGATTGAACAAACGGCTTTGTTAATACAAATGACGGTCGAGTCAATACATCGGAGCATTTCTATATGTTTAACATGAAGTTTAAGTGAGCTACTAAAATTTGGTTTCAAGAATCCCCTAGAACCAGAAAATATGAGGTTTTTATTATAGCTTGTTTCCATACATTATTTTGGTACAACTATAGACTTTTCAGCACGAGTTATCTATCGGTAACCGTAATGTAGCAGGTCAACTATTGATATCAAGTGTACATCAAGCGGTGATTGAAATTTGTCCTCGTGAATGGGTGGTGAGCGTCCTGATCACTGTACCACCGACGCATAATGGCAGAGATGAAATAAATAGCGTTTCCGTATTATTTATAGTAGTGAAAAACGTGAAGCGTATTTCATCTTCTTTGAGTCTTGTCGACTAAATGCATCCCCACTCCACTCAATAATATCACAACCAGTGTGACTAAGACTAAGGCATTAACACGTGGTGTCATCTAAGAGCTTAAATGTCTTAGAAAACCAACCGAAGTTTCGCAGCAAGTAGGAGATCCTGAATCTCTGAATACATGGAACTATCTCTGGTTGCTTACTAATTTATGTGCCACAATGGAACCAAATAACTCAACTCAGCGAGTGTAATGCGAAGAGTTTAGAGTCAAGTCCAAAGATTAATTTATTCTGTTTGGGTCAGTCAAGTTTTCAGAACATGACAATTAAGCCTGAGTTATCGTACTTAACCCTTTTTTATAACTTTCTCGAGAAAATATTAGTTTACATGAAGTTTCAGCAGCACTGACTGACACCAGACTCATGATGAACTCTCTGCTTGCGCTATCTGTCCACAGTGTGACATTTGTGCTACCAACTCAAATTCTGGATGGGTTCTTGTCCGTTACTGTCTGCATGTGCCCGTAGACGTCCTCCTTCTGTGTTGCTTTTAGGTACATATCACTGTATAACTGCAATTTCTCTTCTTTTTGATTTGAATCTTGCAGTCACCTTTCAGGAGATCAGTGTGCAGCTCATGAACGCTTTCTATGTTGTCAGTATTACCATGATTGAAAACACTCTCAACGTATTTGTTGTCGTCTGAGTGGTTGGACTAGATTATTAACTATACAGCTGTGAATTTGGAGATCTCAATTCCATTTCACCTGTGTTCACAGATTCCTAACAGTGTCATAACACACCTGTTTCAATCTGTGTTCTGAGCAACCTCGGACAGGGTGAGAACACTTGGTGTCCTCATGCTTATTCTCGAAAGGTGACACTCAATTTGAGTGCCTCAGTGAAGGCTTCCAAAGACAAACACAGTTCATCCTAGAAATTTTCTATTTTCCAGCAAGGAATGAGTTTATTTTTCATATTTTTCTGTACATCCAATTATCGTAGTGATGGGTTAATTTTTTAAAGAGTAAGCTTTCCAGCCTAAAGGTCAACCTTCCTCTTTTTAAATGTTAAGAAGTGCCTGATAAGCCAGAAAACCAGTTCACCATTCACAGTTGATCATCGAGTCGCTATCCATGAAACTAACCAACACCGGAGAAGTCCAATAGATATAATACAACATCAATAACAGGAATATGAGAAATATCCCCACCATTGAGATCATGATATGAGAAAGAGTCACCGTGAACAAACAAAGCTATAAAGTTATGTTAATACTCTAAAATGTTTATGAACAAATGTGTTTACTGAACCACAATCCACACTGTGAAATAAACACATCTGGTAGTGTCGTTTGTGTGTGTGTGTGTGTGGATAAAACAATTACTACAAAACACATCTCCCAACAATTACCTGATATCCGTATTCTAAAACATCTTGATATAAAATAGGTGTAATCGAAGGATTTCGGTCAGTAACACTTTTGACAATGTCGACAACTTTCGACACGTAATAATTTAATAACTGGGAAGAATTATGAGGGAATCCCATTTTTTGCATGAATTCAACTATTTCTGGATTCGAAATCCTAAAGAAAAGAACACAGAAACACAATAAGGTTGATTTTCCCTCGTTCTTCGTCAGTGATTTTTAGAAACCGAATTTTCTATCAAAATAGTTATCCAAATCACTGACTGATAGCTTGGATTAATGCAGAAAATATCTTTCTACAAACTAACTTGATATAGAAATACCGAGAAAGATTGGAGGAAAAACACAATCCAAGGTGTTTTACATCCGACTTAGTTTCAACTCCTGTGAGATCTATGAAACTAGAATCATGGAAACGAACTAGTTCATGTAAGTTGTGCTAGTGTCTGAAAGTGAAGTGATATCCTCCTAGTGAAGCCGTGTATGACATTCAGCAAACAAATAATGTGGCATAATTCTCTTACGCAGCTGAGTCGCAAGTTAAGCCATCAAAAGGAATGAAATGTTTCACAATCTATTTATGATATTATACGGAAGGATATCATATCAATAAGTTAGTTAAGATGATACCGTCACATCTGTTTTGATGCATGACAGGTCTTGATCAATAAGTAGTATAGATATGAATCACTAATCTTCATGCCTAATTTATCATTCTGATTATGTGTATCTTATATGATAAAATATGTTTATGTTTGATTAGACACTAGTAACTAGTGTGACGTCATATTGATGTTTTATTGAAACTCTCCGTTGTGCTTTCATTAGGGATATGTGTAACTGAAGTCTTCAAATGAAACATTGATGACTCATAATTACCACCAACATTAACGCCGTTTCATTTGATTCTGAATATGTTGACAAATGATCTGCAATTATTCACACAGTCACATGCAAATTGTTTAGTTCAGATTCCCTTACTTCACACCAGTTCACTGTGACCTTTATTTAAACATTTTTATTGTAGGCTGATACAAAATCCTGCATACACTGTTCACGGTGTATAACACATTCAGTATAATCATAAGTCATGGGAATTATTCTGTCAAATGTCATTCACAATGCATTCAGTATTGTTTTTGAAGACTAATCATGACTCAGAGATAATTTGACAAGAGTTGTACAGACAGACTGTACGCTTTCTATATGCCTTTATTATTTTAATTCCTGCTTTTTTTCTGAAGAGGTTTCGAAGTGTCTGGCGAACAAAACATGAGAATCATTCATTTAAACTTGGCTGAGATTCAAACAAATATAACGTTTAAGTAGTGATAAAATGTACTAGATGAGGCGAATTCAACCTGCATTCATCTGAAGCAAGAAAACATTTTCCGTCAGAATTCTTTGAGAATTTCGGCATGTCCTAACGCGTCTACTCAATGAAATGTGACATAAAATATGCGAAAACTCACCAACAGGCAAAATCTATATCATCGCCTCCAAGATGAATATAATTATCATGAAATCGGCTGGTGACTTCTGTAAACAGATTCTTCAAAAACTCAAATGTAGAATCGTTGACTGGATTCATTGGACCCAATTGTCCAGTTGGCTTAGAGTCTTGATAACATTTTGTTAGTAAGTCTGGAAATGCTTTTCCCCATGACAATGTATGCGCTGCAAGGAAGTATTTTGACAATCAGTGAAGGTCATTTTGACAGCTTTTAGAAGTGTCCGTTAAAATTTTCAAAAGAATGGTTACTGAACAAAGAATACTGTTTTCGATAACTTCATCATCAGGCTCTACATGTATGGATACATAAAAGTAGTGAATTAATTGTTGTTATGAACAACAATAATGTTTAAATAAGGGCGAACCGGCCGTTGCTCTAGGAACTTGAGCTGCATGGATTCATTCAATGATATTACCTATGAATTTCAAAGCAGTGATCAATCACTTGAAAGCTTTACTGACACTTCAACTAATTACATTCAAGCTACTCGCCTTTCGAATTCTTCATCACGTTTTCTGATTTAAGTGAAGCAATTGAAAAAGAATAAATAGAACCGTAAACCCGCAATGATTCGAATAAAACTGTGGTCTTTTCTTCACAGAGTACCGATAAAGGCTTTCGTCGAATAAGAAACTCTCATGCAACTCAGGACTAATGCGCTTCATCACCTCATTGAGTTAATATACCTGAAAATATAATATCATGAACAAACCGCATTACAATTTCAAACCTAGTGCCTCCGCCGAATTCATGGTTCAAAGTTCCATTCGTGGTATTATTTCGAGAACACTATCACACTGACTCAAATATTTACATAACATCATTTCATGTGGGCACAATTGGTGGATAATTACATCATACCAAATATCTTCAAACTTATTTACCTGGAGTATCAAACTCTGGAATGATCCGGACTCCACGGAGACGAGCGTATTCCAATAAATCAGACACTTCTATTTCATCATATGTACACCTTTGTGGATGATATGCACCCTGTTGATATTGACACGAGAATCGGAATTATTAAACGCTCAATATCGACTCAACTTACCTTGTGTGACAGTTCTGGATAGGTGGTTGAGACAAAGGGAAACGATTCGTCATCTGTGATGTGCCAATGAAGGACATTCATTTTAACCATAGCCATGATATCCTGAAAACAGAAAATACTATGCTAAATATAACATCTCCTACTATTAAATTCCGAATAGTTTCAACTGTGATGAAATTACTTCCAGTATCTAGGAGTATTCCGCGATGTAAGAATAATGGTTCATCTTCCACAGAAACCCTAAATATCATATTCTAGATGAAATATATTGATGAAGTCAAGTTATCAACAAAAACAAAACTCACTCCTCCAAATTCATCCTCGTACACCATCTGAAGTACAGTTTCAAGGGCACGTAGTGCACCCCAAACCTCTTTCGAACTTATCGATATTTCTGTATCTTCAACGTTCACGTTATCTGCAAAGTGGTGAATGAAATACTTCTTGTGTTCTGACTCACATGATTCGTTCATTTTATGACTCGGCCACAGTTTATCTGCAATTTCGTCACATCCATCCATGATTTCAATTTTCAATTTGTTTATGATACATTTGTCTTTGCTTTCTGGAGGAATTTGTGGGTGCTTTGATGCTAGACGGCGTCGAAATCTTGTCAGTGAGTCTGTGAGTATAAAGCATGTTGGGTAGTTGTGTTCGTAGGTGAGTATTTGCATCAGGTTGCAGGCTGTTGAAGCTTTGTTGTAAACTGTTGGTTTTGGGACTATAGCGAGAGTGCGCCGACTTGCATTACTGAGGAGCAACAGAACCACGAACAACGCAGAATAACAGATCATGATTACGTTTTGTTTCTCAGCAGAGTATTTCTCACTCAAATCTCATCAAGTTTTGTACTAATTTCGAATTGGATTTTGAACTCATTCGACATCTGGTGAGAAAAATATCATCCAACCAAATTAGCGTATCACCTAATTGCTTGTTTGTGGGTTGTGTATTATTGGAATTTAGAAAACTATGATGACTTGTATAAAACATTTCTGGAAAATACAAACATTACGAAGATTGAAGACGAGTCAGTGAGTGTTCTCATATAAAGTGGAACTTTTCAAAATAGAATTCGCGTGTTCTATGTATATACGTGTCAGGCATTCACCATCCAACTTCCACGGCATCACTTTATTTCAGAGAACTATGGAGTAACTGCAAAAAATATCTGCTTTCCAGTAAAGGCCAGTCTCGATGCATCTTTCACTGTACCAGAATTAATATAGGGCTAAAACTGCATGAGTTTAGTTATGAATGGACAAACTTCTGCCCGACTCGAGGGTGCTTTAGATTTTTGAACTTATATTACGGTGTGTTTTGTCGACCAGGCTTGGACGCTATTTTACACTTTTCTTCGATCTGGTAACATATACGAAGCTAGAGTTTATAGTTCAGCCACAATGGTTAAACAAGTTCCTGAAAGCTTCTCTCGAAGTTATTAAGACGTTCAGTCTTCTAAACAAGTCGTTCTGCAGAACATTTTCTTAAAAAGCCAAACCTTTTTATTCAACTTTTGTTAATAGCAGTTGCAGGTTTGGTAAAGTACAGATTAAATTGTGACATTATTACATTCTATCTAGTAAGGTTTGTATAGTGTGAAATGTTGACCACACAACCTGTCAATTACAACTCGTGAATCCGTGCCATATCTGCAGTTTGGTTTATCATTACTTTCAGTTATTTACTGGTTGTAGTTTGGTTTGTTTTCTCGTGGCTGGTTGTTACTATTTTTTCATTAATTTTTCTGCTTGATTAATTTTATAATTGTGGCATTTTAATGTATGTTCTCATCATAACGTACCACACTGAATGCTGAAATCAACTTTCTTGTGCAGATTGTAGTTACCACAACACCTTCTGGACACACCGAACCTTCGTAGGGTTCGCTCATGCGGAAATGTGTTTCACCCTTTGTCTTAGGTGTCACTTAGTTATTGTGAGGCTTCCTGAAAATATTATCGGAGATAGGTGTGAGATCATCGCCTACCCCTCTTCAAAACTTCAGGATCCTCTCTAAACTGCTCTGATAAAAAGAGTTGTGCCTATACGTCAGTAGTAGGTGCAAGAATTCTCCCAAGACGTACATTTTAGTGATTTCAGTCTTACTCAAATACTTCATTAGATGTAACAGCTAGTCAATGAAATAAAAATTGACGATGCATGGAGAATCCTATCAGTCTTTCGAAATTCACTTTGATAAAGTTGGGAGAGGAAGAAGACGGAACTGCAGAGGCTGTTAAGGCTTAAACGAGCATTTTGACCACATTATTCAGTAGTTATTGTTGTCACAAGGATCTCTGTCCTCTCTTACCTGATGAGTCGTCGAGTTTTGACTCGGCGGCCAATGTAAATAAAATTTATCAAATGCGTGGTATTATAAAGGGGACGAGAGCAAGAAATTTGTCGAATGATTCCACATTCATCTGTTGTAGCACATATCTATGACTTATTGGGAATCTGCGATCGTGTTTAAGAAACTGTCAATATTGTGGTGCTCTTATATGAAAGACGATGTGCTGCCCCTACCAAAATGTACACTCGTCTTTGCATTTCTGACACCATTCAGGATACATGTGGGAAGGCATATAGTGATGACTGACATTACTTGAGGATTGAAACAGAGACTGTTGTTATGCAGTATTGAGTGAAAGAGCATTCTCAGCCAATAGCTTAAGTGTCGGACGAAATTTTCACTTTGAAATTTTCCGTAATTGCGCTGCTCAGTTCGTTCATTTTTTGAGTCCAGAATTACGTTTATAGTGTGTATAATGCCAAATTGATCTTCAGGAGTGACTCTAAGAATAACCACTCTACTACTTGTACCCTGAGACGATGGATGGTAGTCTGTTACTTACCTCTGTTTAGGAAAAGTAGTTATTTTAAGGTAGGCTAACTCTTGCAATTTTCAATCTTCTCGTTAAAAGTAGGGTAATGCAAGGCGCCTACTTGTGTTCAGTTCCTGGAGGTCGAAGTAATTATTGAAGTAGGCAGAATTAAATCCGTTCAGGTCTACATTAATTTTTTATTAGATAAATCACATAGTGAGTGAAATAGTATTATTTACTGCATGAAAATGTTTCGAGCACAATTTATTGTGGTTTATAATCATATCAGTTATAATCACACGACTTCAAAACTTGAGTTCTATAGTTTTCTTTGTTCTTTCCCATTTGTGGTAGGAGTATTAGAGTTTTCTAAAAGTCAGCAGACAAAAATAGCAGTAATACCACTTTAAAACACCCGTTCACTTCCAATCACCGAAGGTACGCTAAGTAGGGCCCAGTTAGTACTTGATGAAAAGGTGACTCGATGGGAATGCCAGGTGTAGCTGACCTTTAAAAATAGTGAAAATTCTACATTGCTGTTAAAGCGCTGTTTGGAATAGAAAAGTTACCCCATATGGTGTTGTAAGCCACTCCTAAGAGAAATACCAGAGGTGCCTTCTTAACCAAATTACCACTTCACTGTTTTGACTCAAGGAAATAGCCTTTCAACTGACAACTACTCAGTGTCGATGAGTGACTGAATAGCCCGAGTTACTAATTAAGCAAACAGGCTATTCCACCTAGACAATGAAGTAGTGGTTGTGAGACATCAGAGAAGATGTCAGTCAGTTGAGTGACGGTGAGAATCTGATTACACGGTAACTGACATCTTAAGTGAAAAAGGGTATACGTCTGTGTCTCAGTTAGGAATTATTTCAATTATGTAACCGTCAGAGCGATATTGACCTCATCTTAACTGCCGGTGAGTAGGTCGGGAGTGCATGTGTATAACCAAGAAATACCATGGAGGAACTGATAGATTAATTGTTCGAATGCTTGAGAGGCGTTTATTAATTGAAAAGATACAAGGATGAGTTCATTTTAGTCGAACAGAATAGTTATGGCTATTTTAAGAATCACAACTGTGTGAATACCAGTATATTGGTGGATCCAATTAAATTTGGTTATCTGGCATCTTTAAAAATCTGTTGATTTTGCCACGGTGTTAACGTTGTATTTCCCAGAGTCTCCTTTATGAGGATCCGGAAACCAAAACCATTTAGATAACGACGCTCGTTAGTAACAGCCTGTCTTCTAGCAAGCGTCTGTAGGTTAAGTCGAGTA